TTAAAAGCATTGGGATCATGCAGATGCCAAAAACTGTCGTGAGGCGAAGAATTTCCTATTTCTTGGAATGAAAGTACTGCTGCTGTAAAAGAATCAACACTCTTCTTTCCACTTTAAGGGTTGACACAGTTTTCTTAGGGAATATTCTCAGTATGGTTTTATAGCTTGTTTCTCAATCTTCAATATATTTTATTTACCTTGGACAGTTAACCGTATATATTTATTTAACAATTAACTTTCAATGCTGTTACTTTTTTTAAAAAAAATTGATGTTATGGTCATTAATTCTTTAATCTATTTCATTTTATTTGACACAATTTTTTAAAAAGTTTATCTGTAGATCACGTGCAATAGCTAAAGAGGCTAGTGGCAAAACCAGTAACAGTAAGAATTACTGGAAATGACATATGCTATTCAACAGTGGCATTCAACAATATTCAAACTCGTTTTTCCCCCAAACTCAAAATAAAATCAATAGCTCAGATAACAGCCTCCTCTGTTCCATATCAAAACTTAATCTGTATAGCGAGATATACTCAGATATTCATTACATCTTGGTCACTTGCATTTAGTAAATAATATTTTTTAAATAAACCTATATCCAGGTACCTTTTGAAGTAGTAAAATATTCTCCCAATGAACTCGTCAACTTCAAAAGTAATCTACTTGCAACGGATTTTTACACTTGTAAAGATAACTAGGAATAGGAACGTTCCCAGTTGACCGCTATAACTTGTACCACCTGAAATTTACTAGGGAGCACCCTTGTATCTGAGACTCTAGTTATTTCCAAACTTCACCCATCAGGGAAAACAAACACCACTTCTAATTACCTAGAGATTCTAGCTAGATTTTTTTTCTTTTTAAAGGGTGAAGTTAATTCGAATTTTCCCTCTTCCCCATCATCTCTAGAAAGAGGTGGGTTTCAGAGTAGCAGCCGTGTTAGTCTGTATTCACAAAAAGAAAAGGAGGACTTGTGGCACCTTAGAGACTAACGAATTTATTTGAGCATGAGCTTTCGTGAGCTACAGCTCACTTCATCGGATGCATTTAGGTGGGTGGATGTCTTTTTGGTTAACGTTCTTAAAGGGAATAATTGTGTCTGCCTGTTTGGTCTGTATTCCCTTTCCGGATCAGATGCCTTCAAAGCACTGAACGTTCTCCCTCTTCTTTACAGCTGGAAGCGAGATGGCAAAGAAATCAGAGAGAGAGATGCATACTGAAACTTTGGAGAAAATTAGACACAACTTTTCTTTTCTCCTCTTTCTCCCCCCAAAGATTTTTGCTTTTAAAGGGGACAACTCAAGTCCCAATTCATGCCATGCCAGAGAGATTTGTTTTAAGGAAAGCGTCTTTGTACCTAGTCATCTCTCCCTGAGAAGGCGAAAGAGGGAGTGATGAAAAATCAGTCCCCTTCCTCTTATTTCTAAGGCTCTGCCTGCAGCAGGAAAAGAGAATGAGGCAGCATCTTCAGTGAGACCGCTCCAGCTACAAACAGGGGCAACACCAACAGCAAACGCCAAACTTTGTAAGTTTCAAACGTCGCTGCTGCGACGATTCCAGCAGCTTGGCTATCAGTCTGAGAGCGATCACTCTCACCGTGGGGAGGAAGTGCAGAGTGGGGAGAAAAAGAAGGGGGCTTTGGGTTTTCTCTCCTTCAGTGAAAGTGTTACAAAGTGAGTCAGGCGACTGGAAATCATCTGACTGAACTTTCCTGAAACCGACACACATTCCTGGGCTGCGAGCTCCTCTGATTTCCCCACCTTCCATCCCCTTACTCCTCTTCCTCTCTCTTTAGACTTTTCTCTCGAACATTTTTTTCCTGGTGATGGTTCCCCCCATTACCATTTATTTTAATATGACCTCTCCCACCCCCTACACACACATACACACACACGTTTCCCTGACACTGCCCTACTGCATCACTCTCTTCTCCAGCTCTGATCAATCCCGTTCTCTTGTAAAATCCTGAGCTTTTTTTTTTCTACCCTATTTAGCTTTGTAGGAATTTTATCCAGCATCGTTTTCTAATCCTGAGTCCTGACCATCCTTACACCCACCCCCACACAGAGCATATAACACATTTAGGTACTACTTGGCTTCTTCTATTTTGATCCCCTCTATCATTTCAATTTGGTTACATTTATATCACTCTAGTTTCCTTGATGCCCATCTATTTTTGCAGCTTTTAAAACGTGTAATGCTATTGCCTTTCCAAGGAATTTCTATATGATTTCGATAAGCATCATCATAGTTAGTGTTATCAGCAAAGACACAAGCTCAGAAGTGACATCTTTTCCATGAATCCAGAAGAGAAGAAAAATCCACTCAGTTCAGATAAATCCTGGGCAATCCCCAAAGGAAAAGGCATTGGCTACGTGCTTGTCGAGAGAGAAAATGGAAAGAAAAAAAAAAGAAAAGAAAAAGAAAAGAAAAGAAGTCTACCTTCTTCTCAAAACCAGAACATTTCTGACTCAGAAATGAATGAAAGAACCAGATTATGGAACACAAAGGAAAAAAAAAACATGGGGAAAAAAAGGAATAAAATAAAATAAAATAAAAATGCACTGGTTGGAGCAAGACAGGGAAGGGAGAAGTTAGACCTTCGTGCAACCAATGCACACACTTTAAATGAAGTTTGCAGGATCGGTTACCTTAACAATCGCAATTAAACTTTCTCCTCCCAACTCTCCTGGCTTTCTTAAGTCATTGCATCCCACGAAAAAACAATTTCAATGGAGCAACGGAATATATGCCATTCCGGTCCATATGTGTTACTAAAGACTTGTGTGCAATAACTGTGTGTACACATTACATTCATTAGCTCTCCCACATACATAATCATATAGCTTTTAGGAAATCGTTTGTACATTTTTGCTGATCAAATTGTTTTGCGAAAACATGAAACACATTGGTACACACACTCATCACAGAACATGTGATGGGGTTTAATACGCTAAACTAATAATCTTGTATGACGAGAACCAAGAAGGATAAAATAAGAAGGCTAAAACAACAAACAGAATATTCTTTAGTGCAAAAGAGCACTTCTGGATGCCTTGCTTTAAATCTCATTCTCTTTCCTCTCAAAAATGACTGTTTAACATAAGAAAAAAGGCTACTTGACACAAAGCTTTTGTTATCCAGTTGATCAGCAACGTGCTTTAGATACTTGTAAGGGGAAAAAAACCCCACAACAGACATTGATTTTAGAAAATCAATAACCAACATTTAATAAAAAGAACAGAAGAAACACAAGAGAGGAGAGGGAAACATTACGTGTAATTTTAATGTCTACTAAATTACCCAGAGATGAGGGGAAGGGGAGGTCTCCTATGTGAGGACCACCTTAAATAATGACAGACACAGGAGTAAAGGCGGGGTGTGTGTAGGGGGGAGGGAGAGGGGGAGAGAGAGACTTAAAAAAAAAGATAACAAGGAACGGATCATTGGGAAGCTGCTCGGAATATATTATTTTAGTTGGGTTTTTTTGTAATACTAAGCCAAGCAAATAGATCAAAGACAACACAAAGGGTAACATAAAGAACAGTTTCTGACTAAAATTCCTCTATCACTCCCCCATATGGCTCGACACCTCCACCACAACAAGAAAAAGACACACACACACACACACACACACTCGCGCAACCTAGAGAGTGGGAAGGGGGTGGGGGGGGGCGAGAGAAAGGATCATTTGTTTCTAATCAACATTCTCTTGTCTTTGTGTTTTTCTCCTTCCACCCCCACTCCACCTCTCCACTTAAATGAAGTAGCTCAGCTATAAGCAAATGGGTTCAGGTTCACACAAATATCTTCATTCCTCCTGATCTCTAGAGGAAAGTTGTTGAAAGTGGGGCTGAGATGTCCATTCAGGGGCACCAGGGTGGCTGGGGGAGGGGGGCAGACTTCCAAACCAACGAAGAAAGGAAGAAACTAGGGAGGGACAGAGACCCACACCAGCGAAGAGCTGCCAAATGTGAGATCAGACCAGAACACCCCGTCCCATTGAACCCAACCTCTCAGTCGCCTGCAGAGACCAGGGGAGAGGGTAACTATGGGCAATGGGGCAGCAAACTCATTCTGTTTTCTTAATGATTAAGGAGAAGGAAGTTTCATTTTCGAGTCTATCACAATTTTTAAAAAAGTAAATAACTCCCTGCCAATGTGGCTTAGGATTCTCACGGTGCCTTTTTCCCAGGGAATATGGTTTTTCCGTGGTTCTTCCCCCCCCCGTCCCTTAATGGAACTATTGGAAATACCTCTCCGCCCCCTCTCGTCTCTCTCTTCCCCTGACACTAGAGTCCATGGCTTAGCTGGTTCTGCCAACATGAAAACTGGCCGGAAAGTGGCTTTGGTCTGTGTGAGACTTACATGTCTGGGAGGTAATTCTGAGACTGCAGGCAGCGGTCAGAGGGGAAAAAAAGCAGGAGACAGAGAGAGAGAGAGAGAGAATCCAGCGGGTCCTGGGGGGGGGTGGGGGTGGGGGGTGAGAAGCCAGGCGCAAGAGACACAGAGCCCAGGACCGTTAGATAGAGCAGGGACCCAGGCAAGAAACTTTCAGCCTTTCTCAGCCACACAGTCTGCATGGGGCTCTCGCTCAGTCTCTGGCTTTTCTTTCCAAACCGCCCAGTGATTCTGCAGAACTCAAACTACAGAAGCCCCAGACCTGGGACTCTGCCCACTTGATCGGACTTCTCCAAAGGTGTCTGGGGGGTGGGGTGGGGGGGCGGATAAGGAGCGCTCGGTTAGACTGGGACTGCGCCCGGGGGAAAGGGCTGGGATCCTCCGGCTTCTTTGACGCTCACTTTCCCTGGGACTCCCTTGAACTCTCTCTCCCCTCCAGAAATATACAACAGGCGGATCTCTCGTCCGCCACATAGAAAGCGACCGCCAGCAAACCCCGGGCTGCTGCGGTTGCTGCTGGGTGGTTTTTTTCTCCCTCTCCCCCTCTATCTCTCTGGTGGAGTCGAAAGGAAAAGTTTGATTCAGGGTTTTCTTACCGTTTTTCCTTCTTGGATTGGCTTGTTTTCGCCTCTTACACCTGGGGCCATCCGCCATGATCTGCTGCTTCATTGATAAGAGTGGATCAGATGGCAGTTCGCATGGACTCGACTCCCTGATTCAGCAGCACGCAGACTCTATGTAACAACCAAACACAGCAACAATGTGGGCATTGGTATATCCCATTTAAATGCAGGGCGCCAAAGGGAACCCAAATATTCCCCCAAAAAGGAACCCATCCACACACACACAAAGACTTGCCGTGCTGGGGGAGGTCGGAGCAAAGATTAAATTGATCCCCTTCCTTCCCAGCCGGCCAGGTTTTTAATTTTTTTTGTATTGCACAGCAAAGGAGATCAGAGAGACAAGAATTACATCTTCAAAATGAGTCATAACTCATGACCGTATGAGGGAATGCACAGGCTCGTACAGTAGGCTGTTTGACTCAATGCTAGGCGGACCATTTCCTCCTAAAAGTACTTTAGACTGACATTGCAACTTGTTCTCCCATGATATGCTATCTTTATCTTTATTTGTATTTTTGTTAGCGCACTTCGGCAAGCTGAGAGCAACAGAGAAACATAGCTCTCTCTCCCTCTCTCCCCCTCCCCTGTGGGGTAAGGCGCAGGATTGAGACCTCACTTCTACCCCCCCCCCCGCCCCAACAATGAGAAGTGTATTATAAACCTCTGTCATCTTTTTAGTCAGTTTGACAATATTCATTGTAGGGTTTCCCCCTGCCCATTAAACAAAGCTTCAGACTGTCTTCCGCCCCCCCCCCCCCCCCGCCTGAGAAAAGAAACAGAAATCAAAACTACTGCTGTCAGTGTTTTCAGGCTTTCTAAATGATCATATCCTTTTCGACGTGTAAACTTTCGTACCTATATCTGTCTACACATGCAGGCTTTATTTGAGACTGAATCTGTCAAAACTGGAGTGGGGAAGCACTTGGTTTGCTTGATATAAGGCTCCTGAAACTGAGTCTATCTTGGAGAAGATGCTGTAGCTTTAAAGATGCTTTGACTTGAGGATTAGTTTAAACAGGGGGCTATAAAAGATGTAACAGATGCAAACTGTAAAACAAGGGCAATTAACCCTTGCTCTTCTGAACAAAATCCACCCTAGCCTCAGCATCTATTGTCTACTCCTACGCTGTAAAGCTTTACACAAAACCGAGAAATTGATGACCTGTCTCCACACATTTTGTAACAAAGTGGATTTAGTTTTGATTTTTCCATTTTAACTTTAGTAAAGATTTACATCAGGATGGATCAGTTAAGTATGCTGCTCTTATGTCTTGTTGGCTCTGAACTCGCCTTTCTTAGGCTTTTGATGATAAAACAGGGTTGCTTTAAAAATCTATGTGCAGGTAAGTGTATGTGAATATGCAGATTGTCTGTACAAGGTCAGTATGTTTACTCACAGACTACAGCAAATGAATCCATGTTGAGAAAGTAAACTGGTAGTTTTATGGACATGGATGCATGTGTGTGGGAGAGGGAGAGATTGAGCGAATACGTACAAAAACTTTATATTTGCTAGTTATTTCTTGCTCTGCATTTTGTAATCTCTACATCATCATTACAGATCAAGCACAAGATATATGAAAGTAGGTAGGAGATAAACAAATTCATAAAAGCCCGGACCTGTGAGCTTTCTTCGACAATTGGAGTAATAATGCAAAACGACCAATGGCGAATTGTTTTAAATGTATTTCAATATCTGCTCTGCTCCTTAGCATTAACAAGAAACGTTGCCAATAATTTTCAATCTTGGGTTCTTGAGGACGGTTTTCTTCCTAGCTGGATTGACTATTTTTTGTAAACGACTTTTAAGTTCCAGTCACTACTTTCACTTCTTTCTTTGGGATCCCAGAACCTGAGGTGTTACTTCATCCAGCCTCACAAAATAAAATAAAGAAATGAAACCGACTAGGCAGACAAAACAGCAAACTTTCTGTTTGGGGAAACACATCTTTGCTGGGACTTCTAAAGCAGGCTGGAGCTAAAATATTGTCCAACCGTGCTCCCTGTGCATGCACCGTGCGTGCAAATCACTAACAGGTACATGCAAACTTTAAGATGATCCTATGTGAATCTTAAAATAAAAGAGCAGTGAGGTTGTTTGAAAGAATGAATTCTTTTCTGTGCACTAAAACTTTTACTGTCATTTGCAAAAGACACCTTTACTACCTGTCTGGACAGGTACTGGGGGGGGCGGGGGGGGATAACAGCAGAGAACGGTTCGCCATAAAAGAACCAACCCCTCCTGAAACTGGTGCCAAGTGACTTTACATTTCAGTTCAAAATGAGATTCCCCAACTATAAACAAGCTGAATAAGCCGCCACACTCGAAATAAAAAAAAGAAAAGAAACGGGGAGAAAATGAGACGGTGCAGGGGGAAGGGGGGGGAAAGACAAGAAAGAAAGAACTGTTTAAATTCAGAACCTACCTGCGAAGTGTTGTTTGTAGTTTTGGCCAGAAATGGTGAGAAGAAAAAGCATGAAGAAGCCGCGAAGTGGAGGAGAAAAGGTGAAGGGAGATGCAGCTCCTGCAGAATTTGTAAAAAGCCTTGCAAAGAGTTGTCGGAAGGACCGTTATTCCTGCTGGGCAGGTTAGGACTGATCTCTTTCTGCCACTCCAGGAAACACAAACCTGGGGACGGACTGACGTGTTACGCCTCTTCTAATGACATTTTTTTCTTTTTCTTTTCTGTAGGAGAGAGAGGAGAGACCCTGAAACACACGCCACCTATCTTTGTGGGGAGGGATAATTGAAGAGCACCAAACGTGAGCATCATGTGGAAACGTGATCGCCAAGTTTCTCTCTGGGAAAGGATCTGGGATAGATTATACCTTGAAGTCTCCGCAAACGCTTTAGTGGAAGAAATGAAATTCCACCTCCCTCCCGCTCTGTCTCCCTCCTCCCTCTCTCCGACCCTCGCTCCCTTTCCTCCCTCCTCCCCCCCCCCCCCCCGCAACCATCAAGTCTTTGGCATCATTATCCTCTTCACTAAATCCTACTGGATACAAGGCGGAAAACGGTGAACACCATTCACAGAACTGGATAACTCAAAGGAGCTGAAAGTTAAAGGGAGCGATCCTGTGTCTTTCAATCAAGATCCCTACTTCTTTTTATAGAGATAGCTCTAATGGCCAGATTCTGCAGGCACGTTCACTTGGGTAGCTTTTTCAGCATGGTTTCTAGCAGGAAAGTCTCTTTCTCCTTCTCAGTCCCCCCCTCCACCCTTTCTTTCAGATGAGCAAACCATAGCTCAAAATTTTGGGTAGAAACCAAACGCTGTATTTGAACTGGAAAAAAAGGCACCTAGTTGACTTCTGATCATTTTGTTGTTGTTGTTTCGACGCTCAACCATCTTATTTGAATTGTTTGTTATAGCTGTAGAAAAAAGTGAGATTTGACATTCTTTCTGTTTTGTTCTCAGATATGGATCATGGGGTGAAATGGCTCTTTTTCTGTCTCTCTTCCCTTGGGGGTGGGGAGGGAAGGAGCTAGCTAGCTAGAGTGACTGAGTGGTACTGAACTTGTGGGGATAACAAGTTTACCAGTTTTTAAAATAGGAAAATAAAATAAATAATAAATAATAATAATAATAATAATATTAAAACAGACTCCACCTTTGCACTGAAGGGATTGGTTATGCAAATCTGGAAGGGGTTTCCTGGCAAATACAGCTTTCTACTGTATGGTTAATTAAATCATCACTCAAAAGCCTTCCAATGTGACGCTTCTGTCGTAATCCAATCAGGGTACGTAGGTCCTAAACAAGAAAGATATTTTCCACATCTGGAAGTCAGCAATTTAGCAAGTACTGCACATTATTAACCAATTCAGAGCCCACTTCCCAGGGGGATGTTTTTTTTTGAAGTTTAAGTGTTCTTAACCAATGCTCTGCTGTTTTGTTTATCAAAAAGCTGGTTTGCACAGCACATAATTGGAAACTAATATAGAAGTAACTAAAGACAGCCAAATTTGGTCAGCAAAGGCGTTTATCTGAAAAGGGGGGAAAAAAATCTCTGAGACTTGATCAGTTCATGCCCAGCTGCTCACAGAACCCACATACGGTTCCTTCTTTGGAAGGGCTTTACATAATCTCAATGTAAAGATGAACTTCAAATCCTACATGTTTGGATGATCTTTCTGAAGGTAAACGTGGAGCTGCCCAAGGGGCTGTATTAGCGGGCTTCGTATGAATTTCCTTGCTTTGACAGAGTTAAATCTATTACTGCACTTCTCACCCCCCCGAAGTAAACTGAAACAAATGGTACACTGATCCGACACTATACTTTTACTTACATTAAGCTAAGATAAACTGCTCTTGAACTGTGCATTGAATGTGTGCCTAAAGCAAGAATTGTAATGCTAGCAATAGTCACTAGCAATTGCATTCAAAAATGCTCCTGATCAGAGCACACCTTTCTGATGATTAAACATTGCAAAGAAAGAAAAATCAAACGTGCATTTGCAAATCATCGCTTCCTCAGAGATCTGATGAATATTTTTATCTGCTAATAAAGCTACCCTCCGATTTAAAAATTAAATCTGAATGCACTGCACTGGCAATCGCCCGATCACACAATTTTTGGGGAAATAGGGAAGATTGAACAGTTGGTTACAGTATAAGATTTGGACACATCTGGGGGCTGTAAGTGTCAATGTATCTAATGAGTATAAACTGACTGCTATTAGAAACGTGAGATGTCTTTAGTGTAGGCAGATTTCAGAGCAACAACCACAAAATCTTTTTTTAAGAGTTCCAAATAAAATCCTCAGCTCACTGAGTTTGCTTTTCTGCTGCTTCTCTGTTGTCATTCACCGAGTAAAGATCTGACAACTTTCCATAAATGGACGTTACTAGCCTACCCGACCAGGTACCAATTCAAACCACCAAGTCAAGTCTCTACCAGGTCGGGTATATAAGCGAAATTAAGAGCAAAGTCTTTAAAACGTTGGTAACTCTAGTATAAACGACCTAATGAAATAGCTAATGAAACAGTTTGCCTGTGTATATCTTATGCAAGGCTCTCATATAAATATTAAAGAGCAGGTTTCTTAAGAGCTGCCAGTTATATTTTTAAATTGAATTGTTTTAAATTAATATATGATGAACTGATAACAATGAGCTCTGTAATTATCCCTGCGAGAGCAAAAGCTCTATTGTCCTTTCCTAGGATGAACTGGGTTAGTTGTGCTAAAACTTTTGGCATAACTATTGATTGCATGTCAAAAATATTTAGCTGGAGGATGTATGATCTATCTATCTCTAGATATAACTATAGACAGATAGAAACAGAGATACACCAATACGGACGAGAGTGATAATATCTTAATGAAATATGTGGCATAGTGCAAATATCCTGAAATCAGATTCAAAGTATTATTAATTTGAATTAGATCCTCTCAGATCCACAAGACACTGACTATAAATCAAGGGCACTCTGCTAATTCCTTAAAGAGTCAAACTGAATTTAGATGCATATGTTAAAAAAAAAAAGTGAATGCCAATTACTGAGTCGTCCAATTTCCAGTCACTCATGTCCTATATGGAAACAAGTTCTTAAAATAAATTAATCCCATTACAAACGCCTTACATATTATTCCTAAAGTTCCAGATTATAAAATGAGAGGGTGGGTGGATGGATTAAAAGAAGCTCTACTTTAACCTGCAATAATGCTGCGATCGATGTTTTATCATATTATATCTATCTACACACACACACACACACACACACACACGGTCGATGTTTTATCATATTATATCGATCTCCACACACTCACACACACACACACACTCACAGAGGCAAAACAGACCGTGAGGCTATATTCATGGGCTTTAGGGAACACTTTTGTATTGTCGAATAATCTCTGGTCATAATTTTGTAGACTTTCCTCCACCGCCCAATCTGACAGTTTCTGTAACTCTTAAAGCACCCCCAGCACATAAGGATCACAGAGATAAAATGCTCTGATCTTCTCAGGATTGGCATAACATACACGTCTTTATTAGACATTCTTTTACACTTATCATATGGGGCTGCTATTTTTTTTTTATTTTGGCCACAAGACATAAACATGTAACAATCAGTTAAATCCTTTTGAGAAGGAATTTAGCCTTAATCCAGGAGATGATTTCCTGCCCTGGACTGAACTAATATTGGGCGTGCAGCTTCTTTAAGATATGGAAATAATGACAGTGGCTATTGATATTGCCTTTATTGGGGGTGGTGCTGGCAATGCATCTCTCACATTCTTTCATAAATGTAGAAAGCAGATTGCAATTAATCAGCCCCCTCGACACAGCCTCAGATGAAGAATCTCTGTCTTTATTTTAAACTTTGCAATTATGATGTCTTCCCTACCAGTTAAACAACAAACCCAAATCCATTTTTGCACAGCACAGCTCAGATTTTTGCACAAGGCACCCGGTGGGGTGGATCAGACCCAGTTTTAAGGCCAGCTCACTGGGTGGAGTTCCCTCCTCCCCCAACTTTTCCTGTGTGAAAAGTGAAAGAGAGGAAACTTCGGGGCATATAAAACGATCCTGTCCTGTATTGATACAAACTGTGCCTGACTGATGCCACAAATGCAACCAGCGCTGGCGGGGCTGCTGCCTTCCCTTCAATGATTTTCCCTTTGTCAATTGCATCCATCACACATGAGGGGCCATGTGAGCTAAAGACCCCTCTCTACCCCCCTCCTCCCCTTCCATCCCTGCACCAGCTCCTTTTCGCCCAGCGCCTGCTTTAAAACCACGTGAGCTCGTCCCCCCGTTTCCGGGTTGTGGGGGGCTGGCTGCTAAAAAGGGGGCTATTGGCCGCTTGTGTGCTGATGGCGCAAGCCTCAGCTGAGGTGTTGCTAGGGGCTCATTATCATGAGAAAGGGGCTGCGAGGGGAGATAGCCCACAGGAGCTGACAGTCTACAGCAGTGTAAAGGGACACAGGGAAATGGGAGGGTTTGACAAACTCTTAAACAGGCTGTGTGTGTGTGTGTGTGTGGGGGAGGACTGGGTCTCACCCCCAGTAATGTGGTTCGTTTTAATGTGGTTAAGTAGCAAGTGGGTTAGCTAGGCCCTGGAGGACCTTGGCCTTACTCTGACATCTGCCGTCAATAATGTCTCAATGTGAAAGTAGTGCGACAGGATGGCAGGGAAATCTCTCTCTTGTTCTGCAGCAACCAAAGGACAAGTAATGTAGAGAATAACTCGGTTGTGTTGCACGCCACCACCCAACCCAGAAAGGGTGGATTTGGGGGGAGAGAGCCCTGGAAGGGCTGGATTTCATTTGTGCTACTAGCAGTGATTTTCCTTTTCATCTCATGAAGTTAGTTTTCATCCCAAGAAGCAGAGGTGGGATCTCTGCATTTGCTGCACATGGGTCCCTCTCACTTGGCTTGTTGTTCAAATTTTGTATTACAGTTTGAAAAATAAGGGCGGGGGTTGGGGGGGAGGGATGAGAAGGCTAACTTGCACACGAAAGTGGCTGAAGTTAAACGCCTAAATCCATAGATATGTATCCAAGTCTACGGCTAGGCTGGGGAAAATAGGCTGTGTTGAAAAATGTGTTTAGAGAACATGCCTTTAACTACCACAGTTAAACCGCTAGCATGGACAGGGTTTAGCACCGGTAAAACTTGTTAGCTGTCCCCAAGGCTTCCCTCTGCAATCTGTCAAGACGAGGGCCATCTCACACGTTTTTAAAGCTTGTCTATACGTATGTTTAAGCAGCCTGGATCTGTTTGTCTTGTCTAGGCAGAGCTTGGATATTCCCTTCAGCCACTGCAGTGCCACAGATTATGAATATTATGAGAAGTGTAGGCAACGTGCAGATTTAGTAGCTAAAGCTGTCCTGGTGGGAGAACATCAGCTTTGCTCCATTCCGCCTCCAGCCCCTCTTGAGGTTTCATATTGCGGAGCTCTGGAGGACAGAAGCAGAGATGGGAAGGAGCTGGGGAGCAGCTGCTGGAAGCTGTATGCTCCTCTTGGGTGCAGGTTTATTTTGAAGCACAAATTCCTACTGGTCAGGCCTCTTATATGAGGGAGGGGGGCATTTTGTGCAGTCACCTGGCGGTTGGGGGGTGGAATGCAGTGGAATGCCTTATCTGGGAAAGGGGAAGCCAGGGAGCTGTGCAGAGCCCCTGGGCCTCCATGTGGCTGTTCCTGCTTCATGCAGGTGCCCTGAGATTTGTGTAGATTCCAGGGTTAGGGAGGAAAGACCAGTTTCTATTTTGGTAGTAGGGGAGTAAAAGATGACCTTGCACCTACTGAGGGGATATTCGGGTAGAAACCCCTTGAATCAACATTCAAAAAGTTTCCAAGTCCCTATGCAGAAAAACCAAAGGCAAGGGAAAGGATTGTTTGGCTTTATTTAATTTAGCTCTCTATGGGCATTACTAAGGTATCCAGTCTCCTGTGAGTCCCTCCATGTAAAAGATAAATCTAACTGTCTCATGTATTTGTTAATTTATGTATAAATAAATTTATAAGACAGCCTAGCCTTGTTTACTCATGTAATATATTTCTCTCTCAACTGCAGCTTAACAAATGGTGTTCAACATGGCCCATCTTGCAGGATACAGACTGCTCCTTGTGCTAAATAAACAAGAGACAGTGACTTTGGAATACCTTTTGATAATAGCTGGAGAATGCAATTTTTGGAAGGTTTGTGAGGCTGGTTACTTAGGACTTGTTGTCTGGCATAGTGAGCTGTGCTTGTTCTTTCCACTCTTGTGGGATTGATGCTGAACTTTGGGCACATTTCCTGGCTGAGTTAGTGGTTATTAAAATTCACTGCTCACTTTTGTTTAGTTTCTTGTTTACTTTGCTGAATTTTTAAAAACTTGTTAGAATGCAATTGAACACACAGATTCAAGAGTATTTCGGCCTGAAAAATAAAGATGCATTAGAAAGATGCCTATTATGCTTCAGAATTATTAATTGACATTTTTATGATGAATAATTAATCATTTGAATAATTTTTGTATCTCTGATCTGAACACATATTTGCATATCTAATGTCTGATTTTTAAATGTGGTTTCTTTAGTTGCATTCTCCCAGGACAAAGACACAAAGTAAGTAACATCCTAATGTAAAACTTTTTTTCTTTGCAGTTGTGAAAGTCCATTTTTTGAAATGGAAGTGTCTATCTCACTAAGAAGCTGTCAACAATTCGCATATGTCTTACATATACTTACAGAAAAACATATGATCATTTGATTTGAACACACTTAGTCCATACTTTCTTAAACGCAGGAGAAGGTTCTCAATAATGTACACATTACTTAAAATTGCCTAGTGTTAATACATTATTGGTCTGAGGAAACTGTAAAGAAATCTGCCAGGCAGTACAGCGTTGATTGTTCTCTTTTAGCTTGTTTATATGATTCTTAGTAACAAGGGCCAAGGTTGTTTTAATTTCGGGATTTTAAAATATCAAGAGTATTTGGTGTTATTTTTTCTATGGAGTACATATAATATCCTTAATTTCTTACTATATTTTTACAGGCATAAATCAGAATCTTCAAGAAACACCCCAACCTAGTGACATAAACAATGGTGTAAGCTGCATATCAGTCGTAAATTGGTGAGAAAACAGGTGCAAGTGATGATGTTGTGTAATTTGCACTGATCAGTCATTCAGTTGGGAAGTAAAATGCATGCAGCTTTTCCTGGGAAGGAACAGAAAGGAGGAAAGTGGAGCAGGACAAACAATTTCCTGGAGGATGCAAAAGAGAGTAAGAGCACCAGGATGTTCCCATTCTCTCTTACACCATCACTTATTAATTATCACAATATCACTGCTGAATATGATCCAAGGATTTCCATGGGAATAGCTTCCATTTACACCGGGTCTGAATTTCTCATTGCTTAATGCGTTCAAGAAGGAAGAATACATTTTGAGACTTTTAATTTATGGGACATTTAACCGTACTGCTTAGATACAGGCATCTCAGAGAGATGAACATTTAAAGTATGGCCTGTTAGATTTCTTGTTGTAATTCTTAGAAACCAAGCTGATAGATGCCTTAGAAATACCTAAAATAGATAAAGTACTATTTATATTTTGTAGATTAAAGAATTTGCATTGAAATGAAAGTATTGGAATGTGATACATGATAGTGTTTATAGTTGCTTAGGGTCATCTATATAAAGGAGATGTTACATCTGGAGTGTGAAATTAAAAAACAACCCTTTTACTATCTTTAATTTTTTCTTGTTGTGTAGTAAAATGTACAACCGTCTAAGTAATAATTTTTATAGTGAAAATATATTATGTAGACTATGGTAATCTTTGTAGTAATATCTGACAGACAGATACTGTATAAAGAAACTGAAATGTAGTTCTCAGAACAGGCTGAAGTTATATTGAATGGGATGTTTAGCAGTTGCATATGCTCAGAGATAATTTTTTTTTTTTTTTTGGCTGTGGGGGTATTGAATTTGTAAGAGCAGAGTGGTAAACTTGAGGAAGACTTACAGTATTAAGAGGCAAGATTTGAGTTCTGTGCTTAGGACTTCCATTTGCTTTGAATTCCAGAGTCACAGCTATTTGCAGTAAGATCATTCCTAAAGATTCATACTTTCCTTTTTAGTATCTCAGAGCTAGAATGAGGTTTAAATAGTGACACTAGAGCTGAGGAAAGAGCTGATTTTAACAATGAAAAGCAAAACTCAAATCTAGAGAGAGCCAAATTTTCATGATCTCATTTTAGAAAGTAAGGACTTAGGCCCCTGTTCTGGGAGTGGCTGATAAGTGACCTCCACTCCTACAGTGTGAACTCTTCAGGGGTGGGACAACATTCTACCCAGCCTGCTTACAATTCAGAGCCTACCCTCCTGGCCAAATGCTCTTTGTTTTGCCCTCCTCCATATGCTCAACAAACGAACACTCCCCACTTTCTCCAAACACCACCACCACCACTGCTTTTTGCTGTCTGGAGAAGCAGGAGCAGAGGCATTAAGAAGGAACTGTGGTGGCAGGCAGGGAACACATGCAGGGCTGTGTGCTTTCTGTGTCAAGCTGGTCTGATACTCTGTGCCAGCATCCTTGGATTCTGCAGCACTTTGGTGGGGCAGCTTCATTTACACTAGAAAATGGAGGTTTTTGCTGAATTAAATATAAACCCAATATAGCCCCCATGCTATTTTTTTAAACTAAGTTCAATTTATATTATGTTGTTCCCAGTAAGACACAGACCTTTTTATTGACAACACACAACTACATTGTGGTCAGGAGGGAAGTTGGGAGTTTGACAGTTGGATACGGGGGAGCTGGGCCTTTTGGCATGAAGGAAGCTGGCACAGGCAGTTTAGGACTATGAGATAATCACATAAGCTGGCTAATTCTAAAAAAAATCATCAGTAAAATTAACATTGTTGACTTTTAGATCACCATTATTAGGTTTTAGAATCAACACCCCATTGAGATGAATAGTACACATCACACCTCCTTGTGCTGTTATTTTTTGCTTTCTGCAGTCTCAGGACGACTTAGTTAATATTTTAAAGATTTTATTTACAATCATATGGGCTAGAAAGACCATTTAAAATGAATTTTGGGACTCTGGAGCAGAGCAAGAGCAAATTCCATGCCTACGCAATTGCAGAAGATCTGAGGCTTGACTAAACCATGCTTCTGTGGCTGTGGGGCTTAAGAAGCTCTAGAGACCTCTGTTTCCTGCTCTGAGCGTACTTCCTCTGCTGAACCACAGGAGGCCATGTGTTTTGGGGACTCTTGCTCTTGCCCCACTAGGAGTCCCCCAGTGGCAGTAGGTGGTATTGCACCCTTCGTCAGAGAAGTCATAGTATTACATAATGCCAGGTCTGGGGATTAATACCTTTCCCATCAGTGGAAAGCTGAAATTTTGACCAAAATGAACAATTGAAACATGACATTTTTCATACCGGTCAAAAAGCCATTCTTCTAAAAAAAATGTGATTAAAAGTTTCGACCAACTCTCCTCTAACCTCATTATGACAAAGACAAGGAGAAGTTTAGGAAGATCCACATCCCAAAGAAAACATTGTACCCTTCTCACTAAGTAAAACAGTGCTCCTAGCTACAACTGCTACTTGAGCAGTAAGAAGCAGGTGATGGTCTAAGATGACCTCTAAATGGCAGATGTACCTTACCAATGGTGGACACATTCTCTTGATCAGAGTGCTAATCTAGTTCTCACATGTTTTTCCCTTTGCTTCCCCTATTCTATCAACTATCATCTCAAGAGCTGTCTCTGGACTGAGTCTCAGTCAGATGGCCCTTATCCTAGGCCAGATCTCATTCAGACACTGGGTCATTACAAATGTCAAAAAACAGGAAAGATTTTTCCTTGGAAATTTCCACTAATTTCTCCCTCTGTGGCCCCCTCCCCCCACATACACACATTAAAAAAAGGTTTCTTCGGAAATTTTATGACCAGCTCTCTGGGTCATTTGTTCTACTCCCCCAGTCAGGTCAGTTAAGAACTAAAGTTATTGATGTGGGTACAACCCTGATTTTAACAAAGTAATATTGCATCACTTAAAAACTGCTGTATGCAGCTTCGACACTATTTTCAAACATTAGCACCTTTTTTACCTTTATCGACTATCCCACTTCAAATCATTGACAAGAATGTCAAAACTGCTTTGTCAGAACAACTGCTCTTCTTTTCTTGCACTCTTACAAGCACCCTTCAACTAGAAACCCTCTACAATGAGAATTTTTATCATTGTAAAAAACAAAAATAATTCCATTGATGTCTTATTTGTTGTATTCCTCATTCTGTGTTCTGACCAGGTGGGAAATGTGAGTGAGAACAGTGTAAAAGAACATGTAATGTGTGCTGCACCTCCAGGAGGCTCAGCACAAAGGGAAAGGAGCATAGGTAGCTTTACCTTCCTATTACCAGGCTGGTCGGGGCCAAATAGCCCCCAGTATAATTTGGGGCGCTCAGGGAGCTGCTTTATGGCAATTCTGGCTGAGCTGTCTATGGGCAGCTCCAGAACCCGGAACTACTTAGTATTTCAATAGCACTCTGCACTATGATCCCATCTCAAACATGTCCCCTGCAACCTCAAGCCCCATCTCTGGCACATTCCCAATGCTTGGAGATTGTGTCAGACCATTTATGGCTGACCTACACAGTGTCTGCACCAGGAGAATTCGCTCCTGATTGGCTAAAGAATTTTTACATCCTATGTTTGCTGTTGGGGAGGAAGAGTGCCATTGTTTGTTTCTTTTAATTGCCTTTTCATTGTACAAGAGAGTGAGTGTATTAGATGTCCCCTGGAGCCACTGGAGCTGGGGAACCAGCCTGCCACTTTTCCCTGAACATGCTCAGATATTACGGGACAAGGAAGTGAGGAGACTGCAGGCTACTGTACCCTCATCTCCTCAGAGATTACAATAGTTTGGGAAGATTGAGTGTGTGCGATGGGGCCTCTATGGTTCTAGCTGCTTATATGAATTTCCAAACTTTTGGGAGCTGGAGAACTGGGAGGTTCATATTAAAATGCCTTGTCCACCCCCACTTTCTGTAGGCCTGGCATCTTCTCAGAATTAACTCATTTTGTTTAAACGTTGGCAATTATGCCACAGAATTGGTCCATCCAGGTGAGCTATCAAGCATGTTTGTCGTGTGGCCTAGGGAAACTTCGTTGTCAGGTTCAAATACTGCAAACCTGAAGCATTCAAAAATTGTGAGATTGGTTTAAAAATCACCAAATGAAATAATTGGGTTCTTATTATTTGTTTTTCAGTGTTTGAGTCTTTGGGATGCACTTAGATCATGTTTTCTAGCTTTTCCCCCCAAAACTCTGAGGACTAGAAACATGCTATTTAAAAAAAATGAAAGATGAGAGTCTCATGTAATCCCATGACTCCAGGAGCTGGGGCTTTAAGGAGAACATCAAGGATCACAAGATATAATAGCTGCACTCCTGATGCCATTTTTGGAAGGTCACCAGTGGACAATGAGAGGTTGATCACTGCTGCGATTTATGGGATAGCACTTAGGAGATAAAAAACAAGATCAGAGAGAATATGCTTGAGGAATGAGGTGTTGTCATCCTCTGAAAGGATGGTATCTCAGAGAGTGTCAAAGAGATTGGTGGGAATGAGCCTAGAGTTGGGGAGGAGGGTGTGGCAAGTGAGGTGGTTCAGGTGAGAGAGGTGTGTTGGTGAAGACAGTATCTGTTTGGACTCAGGGATCCCTTGCACTTGGAGGTGAAGAGGGAGGTATGTAAAGTAGATATTGAAAACACCACAAATGTATTCTAATTGTCAGATGTTTCTATAAAATCAGTTGTTACTGAATCACCATTGAAGTTACTGAGCATTTAAATAGGCAGAGAGTGAGAAAAGCTAAGTCTAATTATATGTTTCATGCTATTTACAGTGGTTTCCAGGGGATTTTCTTTATTAAAAGTGCAATGCATCAAAAAGAATAAATCATACAATTTTGTTATTTACACATCAGTTTCTTCTCTCTACAGCTGACTGACTTATTCTTCATTTTACTTCCTCTTTCCCACCCACCCAGAACTTTGATACTTCTGATAATTATATTCAACTATCTATAGAGTATTTTATTCTCCTTAGCTGATAAACAACTAGATCAGAAGAAAAACTTAACACCGACAGAAAAAAATGTCAACCCCCCCCACCCAATATATTGGGAGCTGCTTAACATAGTTGTTTAATAAGAGTAGAAAGAATACTTTGTAATTCTTTTCCACCCCTCTTTGAAATGTTCAGATTAGTAATAAAAAATATGACAGCATATATTTTCTTCATTTTTTTTTTTGCCTGCTGAAAGTATAATGTAAGCAGATGGAGTTCCGACACTGCTTAGAACAGAGTCTACATACACTGTATAATTCTATAATTCCCCACTTCTTGAGGCTTAGCTATATTTGTAATTTACACAGTAATACACAAAAAACCTTCTGCCTAAACATTCTCCCCAAGCTTCACTGTGCCTAAGGTTTCCTCTGCAGGACATCTCTGTTCCCGTTCTCTCTGCCAAAAAGGGACTCCAACCTCTTTTATATTCTGTTTGGAGCCAGTAGAATCCATCTGCAGTACCCGCTGCACCTTCATGCAGATTTCAAGCACACAACAGGGTGATTCATAAGAGGAGTCTACATCCCACTGCAGGACCTAGACTCATCCTGTTGTATGTACCTCTGGCTCAGCCCTATCTCTTCATGTTGTGCTCTTTAAAAATGGTCAACAGCTTGTTTATC